CCTATTTTGTCCCGATCTTCGCGTCGTTTGAACGTGGGGGGGAGGGCTGGGTCCTTTTCGGCCTCTGGGGGGGGCACTCGCCGGGCCTCGGGGCCATCAACCAAACGACTCGGGATGCAAAACGGGGTCGAGCAAGAGAAACCACACCCTGAAGGGGAGGACACCGCTCGAAGGGGAACCCAGACCCCCTCGAGTTATGAAAAAATCACGAGGGGAGGTTTTTCACTATTTTTGGCCTTTGGGGGCCCTTACGGCCCTCGGGACCGTCAAAAAACGACTCAGGACGAAAAACCGGTCCCGGGGAATGGGTCGAGACCTCGGGGGGTCGACGTCATGAAGAAGAAATCATGACGTCGGGGGTCTGGGAATACAGCCGTTCCTGGCGGGCCCCCGCCTGCTTCACGCCGGCCAGCTGGCGGCAGGCCGAGAGGATCTAAGGCAGATAGGGGCGGTGTCTTAAGACACCGCTCGAAGGGGAATATAATATAGCCGTTTCCTGCAGGACCCTCGCCTGCTTCACGCCAGCCAGCTGGCGGCACGCCCAGAGGGTCTAAGGCAGATGGGCTCTCGGCTACACGCAAGAGTGACCCTGGGTAAGAGTGACCTTTGGTGCGCGGCTTCTGGGGGGCCGCTGGGGGACCAAGCACAACCGCGCAAGACGCCGCTACTGCATCGCCTTCGGCGATCTGGGGACCAATTCATGCCCGCACCAAAGGTCACTCCGGCGAAAGGTCACTCTTACGTCCAGTCGATTCTCGGAGGGCTCAGGAGGCCCCCCCCCCCCGGGCCTCCCTGAGCAGCTCTCTGGGCCCCCTCCGAAGCCCCGCCGCCTCTCGAGAAGGCCTGCCTCCCTTCACCTCCCCCCGCTTCCTCGGCGCGCCGCCGAGGCGCTCTTGCGGGGCCCTCCTCCGCTCGCCTCGGGGCGGGCGCTCCGCCGCCCCCCGCCGAGGGGGGCCCTTGCCCGACGAGCCGCACCACTGGCAGGGGGCCACCTGCGAGAGCCCTACCCCTACCCCCCCCCACGACTTCTGGAGGGCGAGGGTGGGGCTCCCTTCGCTCGGGGAGCTCCCCGAGCGAAGGGAGCCCCACCCTCCCCCTCAGAAATCGTGGGGGGGGTAGGGGTAGGGCTCTCGCAGGTGGCCCCCTGCCAGCGGTGCCGCGGCCCCTCCGCCGGCATCCCCCCCCCGCCCCCCGCCGGCGGAGCTCGCTCCCACCGTACGCGGGCGCGACAACGCCCACCCACGCAGAGGCTGCTGTGGCGGGCACCCCCTGGGGCCCGCACGAACTTCGGTGTTGCCTCCGCGGCCGGTGCCGCGGTGCAGTGTCGGAGGGGAGCGGCCTCCAGAACCCCAGACCCCCTCGAGCCATGACAAAAATCACGACGGGAAGTGTTTCACTATTTCTGGCCTCTGGGGGCCCTGACCGGCCCTCGGGACCGTCCACAAAACGGCTCAGGACGGACAACCGGTCCCGGGGAATGGGTCGAGACCTCGGGGGGTCGACGTCATGAAAAAATCATGACGTCGGGCCCGTCGGGGGTCTGGGACTGACGGATCGGGCGATTCCGAAGGCCAGAAATCTCGAGGGTCCGCTTCCCGCTTCGAGTTCGAAGGTCCGGCTTTCGACTCTGCCGCCCCTGGGATCGGATGTCGGCGTTGGCGGGGGCGCGGCGGCGACGGCCTGGCGGCCGCGCCGCCCTGGAGGGTCAAAAGGTAGACGCCATCTTGAAGGGAAAGACACCCTCGGCGGTGGATGTCACTGTTGGGGGTTCTGTCCACCCCCGACAGAAATCGAAGGTCCGCTTCCCGCTTCGAGTTCGAAGGTCTGGCTTTCGACTCTGGCGCCCCTGGGATCGGATACCGCGGCGTCGGCGGGGGCGGGGCGGCGTCGGCCTGGCGGCCGCGCCGCCCTGGAGGGTCACGAAGTAAACGCCATCTTGGAGGGAAAGACACCCTCGGCGGGGACTATTTTTGGTGTATTTCTTTACCCTTTGGGGTATTTTGGGGGTATTTAGATTTTTTCGTCGAGAATCCCCCTGTAGGGGGACACGCCCGACTCAAGTGTAGGGGGTCCGCAGAATAGAAGTCCTTGGGGCCGTGGACGCGTGAAAACACCGCCCCCCGGCGCGCCCGCTGCTCGCCACTCTGGTGGGAAGGCTTCTCGGCGGTGAACAAACCTCTCTTTCGTAGACCTCCCCTTAGTGGCAACGGCCTGGGACGGAAAGCGACGGACCTGGACCCGCAAAAAAAGACGGCCGCGACGCCCCCTCGCGAACCGAAGACGGCCAATTCCTTACTCGACGTGTCAGGGTAGGAGGTCTATCCATCTCCGACACCCAGACCTGCGACGATACTACTTTTTCAATCGCGGCGTCTCTCCTTCATGTCAACCTCCTGGGACTGTTGTCGGGCTCCGGCTATCAAACTTGATCCGGGAAGCAGAATTACCCCCGGGGAAAAGTATGGGAACTGGAACCGCGGATTGGAAAAACAGATCGAAGGATGTCTGGGAAGTTCCAGAACGGACATCGACAGTCGCGACTTTGAAAACCAGGTGACCAGAAACCGTTTTTCGTTTACGATCGAGCCTCCGTTCTGGAGGGAGAAAGCGCATCCACAGGAGGAGGAAGCAGCCAAGAATGGGCGTCGGATCTCCGTTTTGAAGGTTGTTGATCCTCTGGGGCGGTCTTGAAGAGGATCGAGCGAGGATCGAGGGGGATCGATATCGGGGTTTGTTTATTACTTGCCTGATCCCCTCTTGGCATTATTTTATCTCCCTCCACCCCCTGCGGATCGGGGAGGATCGAGAGTCGAGCAGAATCGAGGATCGAGGGGGATAGCGCCAGAGGAGGAGCCAGGAGGAGCGAGGAGGACGGCGCCGGAGGATCGAGGATCGAGGAAGATCGAAGATGGAGGATCGAAGATCGAGGAAGGAGAAAGATCGAGGATCGAGGATCGAGGATTGAGGATGTCGGCGCCGGACGATCGAAGATCGTGGCCAGGCCGCGGTCTCTCTCTCTCTCTCTCTCTTTGCTCCCCTGACCTCCAGCATTTTGAAGAATCGAGGCGGGGGGGTTGGTCGTCTTCGGCGTCTGGGTTCTTAGCTCCGGAGCCGTCAGAAGACTTTGATCCTGGAGGAACAGCTGATCCAAGGGGAGGGGTCGGGACTGCTGGGGGGCCTCGAATCGCACGACATCACCACGTCGGAAGTTTGGCCATTGGTCTGTCTCTCTGTCTTTCCGTATACTGTATGATACATCCTGGACGGAAAGCCGCTCCCAGGGACCAGGATCGGAGCTCCTGGGCTCCTTGGGGGCCTCGTATCGAGGCCTGAATCTGGGTCCATCTACCCGTCCATCAGATCTGTCTTTCTGTCAACCTCGCCACCGTCTGGCAGCGCCGCCACCCGCCGCTGTACCAACGCCTTCATGTTCTCTAGGGCGCCACAAGACGTCAAATCCGCCGACCCTGTCGGGGTGTGTGAGGGGCTTGTCCGTTCGATTCGTCTCCGTTTCCATGGGCCCGTCGCCGCTTCCCCCCTTTCCCTCGGCCCTCCTCCTCCAGCGCGCTCCAGCGCGCCAGCCCAAACGAAATTGAGCAACGTTGTGTTTGAGTCGAAGGTAAGCCCCTTCCCGTTGATCCCTCCCCCGCTGGGAGGGGGGGGGTCCCGGGGGTGGTCCTGGGGGGGGGGGGGGTCAGATACGACGCCCCCCCGGGGAGCCCCAGAACCCAAACAAAACCCAACAAGCGCCAAAATTACCCCCAAGAGGTCTTCAAGATCTTCCAAGAGGGCCCCGAATCGTCGAACGCTCTGTCCATCGCACCTTAACGGTTTCCAAACCGCCCACGAAGCCTACAAACTGGCCCAAGCAGTGGTACATGCAATGATTTTCCAGTTGTTGAAGGATTTGGGCGCTCTGGTCCCTCCTGCTCCCCGACGCTCCGAGATGGCCCAGGACGCCTCCAACATCGCCCCAGGCCAGCCCAAGAGCCCTCCAAGAGGCTCCCAAAACAGCCCCAGAGGGCGCCAAGATAGGGCGACGACATCTATACATATCCACTGCTCCCTGGCGAGGCCCATGCTGAACCCAGCAGCTGTGTATACGCTGCGCCCTCCTGGCGTGGCCAGGAGGGCGTATGCACAACTCCTGGGTTCAGGATGGGCCTGGCCAGGGAGCAATGGATATGTATAGATTTCGTCGCCCGACAAGACGGCCCAACACGGCCTCAGAGGCTCTCAGGACGGGTGCCCAGACGAGGGCTCCGAGCGGAAATTTCGGCGCGGACCCTCCCGCTCTTCCCCCTCCGACCACTCTTCCTCTTCCGCATCCCGCTCTTTCGCATGCTGGTGCTCAGCATCCTCATCCTCCTCATCATTCTCCTCTTACTGCTCACCCCCTTCTGCCGCGTGATCTCACACCCGAGCGCCGCAAAATCACCTTCACCTCAGCCTCCCCATACCCATCCTCCTCCCTCAGCCACTCCTCCTCCCTCCTCCGCGTACTCCTCCTTCTCCTCCAACTGCTCGACCTCGTCATCCTACTGCTGAATTTTTCCACTCAAGCTTCCCCCTGCTCTTTCTCGCCCTCATCCTCCTTCGCATCTTGCTCCTCCTCTTGCTGCTCCACCGCTTCCTCCACGTCCTTCCCTCTGTCCCTCCACGTCGTCTTCCTCGTCCTCGTCGTCATCGTCTTCAGGGTCGGCGGCACCGGCCGTAGGGCCTTCGCAATATTGAATCAGTATGGGAGTACAGCTATATTTCCCTATGGTCCAAGCGCCTACTGAACAACAACTTGCTCACCATGGCGATAATATGATATTGTCGTGGGCAAGCGGACAAGTCCTGATCGCCCCGCGACGGCATGCAGAAAGATGTGCTGTCCACGATGTTTGGACTTGGAGCTGATGGTGAGTCTAGATCGTATACACATTACCACAATAAGTATCGTTCGACGGCCTTGATTGTGTTGAGGTGGATTGAATATGATGGCGCAACAGGATGCTTTCTGGTCATCCGGCAACTGGCGAACCACCGAGGATGTGAATGGCATGCGGAGAGCATCTGGAAACCTGGGGAGATACAAGAATGCGCAGACAAAGATACGCCCACAGACCCGTGTAAGCACACGGTCTCAGAGAGCGCAGCGACCAGACGACTGTCCGAATCTGCACAACAACTCGCACCATCCTCCCCGCGGTTCGCACTGCACAATGACTCAGCCCATGCACTGCGCGCTGCGATTCTCCGAAGACTAGCAACAGAGGAGAGCACAGAGGCACACGAGCTTTCAAAAGCTGGGTGGAAACCTAGGAACGGGGCCTCCACTATTTCAATTATTCAATGTCGGTCTCTAGCGACGCGCGAGCAGAGTAAGCGGAAGACGGCGGATTCGGATTCGCGGTGTATTCAAAGCTGGTGTTTCTAGCCTCGCTGGGGGAAAAGCGTAATGGGAGCTCCAACCCGCACACGAGGGTCACCAGCAGCGTGGGAGCCAGTCCCACCCAGCAAGCGAGCTAATTCCGTGCAGCGGTCGAATTCTTAATTACCACTCGCCCCCGAGGAGCCAGGGCCCCTCTCGACACCCCCTCCGCTCCGGCGCCGAGGCGCTCAGGACCCGTGGCAGGGCGAGCCCTGGCGCCGAGAGCGCCAAAGCCCTGGCGGGGCCAACGCCGAGCCCTGGCGCAGGGCCGTGGCGCCGAGCGGCGCGCCGAGCAGCGCGCAGAGCGGCCGCGCCGGCCGCGGCAGGGCCCTCGAGATCGGAGGCGCCGCGGGGCGGCGCGGCCGCGGCCCGCCGCGAGAGCGCGGTCAGTGGCCGCAGGCCTCGCAGGGCTCGTACGACCTCGCGCGCGGCCGCAGCGCCACCGCGGCGGCGCCGCCGCGGCCGCGGCGGCGGAGCGCGGCGAGGAGGGCGAGCGCCGCGGAGGCCGCGCACGCGGCCGCCAGGGCGGCGCCCAGGGCGGCGGGGCCGCGGCCGCCCGCGGGGCTGCCGCCGATGGCGCCGCCCACCTCTCGGCCACGAGCAAGAGTGACTGAAGGGGCCCCAGGACACACAAATAAATACACACAAAATACACACACAAATAGATTCACACAAATGACAGGATTCCCCATAGTTTCCCATATTTTCTGGGTTTTCGTCTTCCCCCCCCACTTCCCATATTTTCCCATATCTTCTGGGGGATCGACGTTTAATTGTGTCTGTGTGTTTTTGTTTCCTCCTGAGTGACCCTGGGCAAGAGTGGCCTTTGGTGCCCCGCTTGCTGGCCGCTGCGTGCGGCGGCAGCGGCGCGGTGCGCCAGCGGCGGCCTGGCTGCTTGGGCTTGGTCCCGCAGCGCACCCCGAAAGCCGCGCACCAAAGGCCACTCCGGCGAGGGGTCGCTCTTGCGTGCAGCCGACCTCGAACCGCCTCACGGCCCCGGCGCGGAGGCTCTTGTCCGGCGTGCTGAGCACTCCCATCTGCGCCCACCTCGAGCTGGGCGCGCGAGGACCCTGACTCCGGATCCGCCGTACTTGGGCTGCTTTTCCGACTGAGAGATGCGTCGAACATGCACCTCAGACGCTGCGAAACTATGGGGCGGACTTGTTCACCTCCGAAACACTGGGCGGACCTTTCCACAAAGGTATGGTGGAAGCAGCGATGGCAAAGTAGCATGGACATCGGCGTCAAAGAAGCTCAAACAACTAGGGCAGAACTGCGGAAATGTCCGCCCTACAGTCGGGGCGTTGACCTAAGGAACCCAAAATGAGGAACGAGGCCCCTTTCTCCCATAAGTTAAACTTCGATTTCCCATGGAAAACCTAAGGACAACCCAAGGCAAACTGTAAAACAATCAAGGAACACAGAGCCCCTCCCAAACGAAAAGGGTTTCTTCCTCAGCGCTCCGACTGTACTTGCGACAACGCCCAAAGCACGACGGATCCGGAGCCAGGGGGGGGTCAGCGGATCAGCCTACGCAGCTGGCCTCCATCGCGCCAACGTATCGAGAAGCGTGCCACAGCGGCGGGGCCGACGCCAGCTGCACGCAGCAGACTTTCGTGGCTCCCCACCTCCCAGTCTCCCCCGCCGCCCGACCCGACCACCGCAGGAAGGGGTCCTGGGTGGAGCTCGCCCCGCTCGGCTCGTCGCCGTCGTCGCCCTGCAGGACCCAGGTCTTGTCCGACGGGGCGGCGTGGGCGCACAGCTCGATGGCGAAAGCCTGCGCCTCTCCCTGCTCCGGCGACTTGGCGAACACGTCCATGTCCTTCGCCTCGAGGCAGTTGCCCGTGTGCGCCACCAAATACACCCTGTCTCCAGATCGAATCGCCCCATCTTCGCCGCCACCCTGTATCACGAATTCCTGTGAGTCCCGCGTGTTGGTCCACCTGGCGGATTCTGGAAGCCTTGAATCCGAAAAGTGGCATCTCGCGTGGGCAAACGTTTTACTTCCACCGCCTTGCGCTGGCGGAGCGGCCGCCGTTTGACTTCCGCCGCCTTCCGTCGGCCTTCTGCCGAGGCCGAAGATGCGCCGAGGGCGAACGCGGCCCCTTTTGGAGGGCGTCGCCTGGCGCTCACGACGCTTCCCGCCACGTCCAAATAGGCCTGGGTGTTGGCCTTCAGGAACACCGTGTCGTCGCTCTGAATGGGGCCGCCCCCCTCCTTTTCGATGGTGAGGCGCTGCCAGCCCGCCCTCATGTCCCACCGCGCGCGGACCTTCGTACCCTGAACGTCGACGTAGAGTCCTGCGGGCGAGGCTGGGGGGGGGAACAGGATCGAGAGGCGGACACAAAAAACAGGAGGGGGTGAGGAGAAGGAGGGTGGAGGGCACGGAGCAACAGCAGCAGCAGGAGGAGGAGGAGGTGGAGGAGGAGGAGGAGGAGGAGGAGGAGGAGGAGGAGGGAGGAGGAGGCGGGATGGGGGAGGAGAGGGAGGAGGAAGACAGGGGGAGGAGCGGGAGGTGGAGGGCGAGAAAGGGGATGAAGAGGCTGGACGAGGAGGGGGCGGAGGAAGCGGAGGCTGGTGGAAGAGGACAGCAAGGAGGCCGCAGACAAGGAGGATCACTGGGAGGAAGAAGAAGATGATGAGGAGGAGATTAGAACTGAGGATGCAAGAAGGGAAACGATGCTTCCAGAAAAGGAAGCGCAGCGCATGATGGTCTCAGGCGGAATGACTAAGGGGCGTATAAAGCGGGCGCGCTGCACTGATCAGGCCTTCAGCCAAGACAGCGCAGCGGGCCAGCAAAGGTGAGAAGCAGGACAAAAGACAAGGAACTATGGTTCGAGTCTGGCGTTCGAGCAAGCCCGCCGTGCCTTCAAAAGTTGTAACACAACAGGATGGCCCTACAAGCCGCCCCATCATAAAGCAGTTCCCTCGCCGCGAGTGGACACATTCACCTGGTTTCGACATGTCCATGCGTTGGCGGACTTCGCTCCGTTCTAGGAGTACATTGACCCTCCACGGCGCCAGCCGCGAAAACGTGTTACGGCGCCAATGACAGGAATGGAAATATTCCCGCCAGAGCCCGTGGGACTAGCCGAAGCAGGCCAACCAATCACACCAAGATGCGAAATTATTAAGGAGCAGCTGCAAAACATCCGCGAGCTACTTCTCGCTCGCTACTGGTCCGTGAACCCGCTCGCTAGAGTGCTCTACTGAGCGATCTCGCCCGCTGATGTCGTAGATGTGCTTGCCGCTTCCGTGTGCCCTCGTGACACAGTCACGAGAATACGTACCTCATGCCTGCGTGAATGCGCTGTGCTGTGAACTCGCGGCGGCCTTCTTCAGCTTGTCGTCGCTGAAACTTGACCGTGGCTTGGTCATAGCTGATCTGGCCGTGCATCACGCTGAAGATTCGCTCGCGGCCCATGCTGCCCTTGCTCATGGGGTCGGCCCGCATGTCCCGAGAGTCGCACCAGTGCAAAGTCGTCGATCTGCGCGGTGCGCAGCTGGTCGGCGAACCACCGCAGGCGGCCACCACCAGGCCCATGAGAAGAGGCGCTAAAGACGGACATGCCGTCTTCGATGAGGTCTGCGGGGACCGCGCAACCCCCTTTCTCCATCAGCGGCCGATCTCCTCGGCAGAGGCGGGGCCGCGCGCCATCTCGCGCAACGCGAGGAGGCGCGCCTGCAGACCGTCTGCCGCGCCGCGCGCTGCGAGCAGCTCAGAGCCGAACGAAGATCGGCACACAAGCTTGTGCGATCGGCTCACAGAGTCCAGCAGGTGGCAGACCTGTTTGCCGGCGCGGCGGCACCTCCCAAGACGCGGCTCCTCTCATGCCGTATCCTGGCTCCTCCTCCCTCTTGAAGGGCCGTCGCTGGGTGCGCTGAATCGCACGGCGCAGTCCATTGACGGAATTCCGATGCGTGCCTTGATCTTCTGCGTGGCCAGAACAACTGAGTTGAGCTGCGTCGGGCTTCGGATGAGCAGCCGGTTCTTGGTTTTCTGCAGGGTGGCGATGTGCATTGCGACGTGGTGCCGGGCAAACAGGGCGCAGGCCTCTGCTCCTGGGAAGGAGACAAAGAAGCTGGGAAGCTGATCTCCGGCAGGCTCGTCAGCCTTCGCCTCGACCAGGTCGACGTGTTTGATCGGCGTCAGAGCGTCGATGAACTCGTTCTGGTCGAGCGCCCCAGTGCCATCGGCACTGCGCCCTACCAGCGCGCTGACCCCCCCCCCTTCGCGACGAGGGGTGCGTCGCGCATTCGTCGCCCGTGCGCCGCCCGTGCGTCGGCCGCCGAAAAGGCCAGCCGTCCTCGCGAACGCGCACGTCGCCCTCGCAAGGGGGAAGTTTGGTGAGTGCGTCGCCAGCGCGGCGGGCGCCCACGGGGGGGATCGCACGCGCGTCGCCCGCTCCACGGCCGCCGAAAAGGCCGGTCGCCTTCGGGAAAAAGAAGTCGCCCACGCAGCGGCCCCCTTGGCGAGAAGGCGGCCGCTGGGCTACCTCAGCAGATCAGCAAAGCCCTCCAACATTACACATGCCGCGATGCAGCTGAACGCACTCTGGCGCTAGGCCAGCAGGTCCCCGCAGCCGCCGCCACCAGAGCGGGGCGCGATGCGGCGGGGCGAAGTGGTGCCGCGTCGCGCGACGTGGCGTCACCCCCACCGTGGCGCGACGCGCGCAGCCCCCAATCAACGCGAGGCGTCTTCGCCCTCTGGTGCGGTTGGCGCCCCAAGAAAATACGCACCAGCAAACCCTCTTGCGCCGAATGGGAAACAGAACGCGTTGGTGGACCGTCGAACTAGAGTGCGCCACGACCGCCAAACTGGCTGCTGGTGCACCGGCGTCGGAAACCAATATGTCGCCAGCGAAATTCCGAAGTCGCACCATATGTCCCCCACGCACACTGGGAGGCCGGGATTCGGGACAGAGACGCAAACCAGCGCCGGCGCACGGGCGACGCACGGGCGACGCACTGAACGAAACTTAAAGGGGGGGGGTCGTACGATTGTGCCCTAACACTCGATGTGGCTGATTAGCCAGTCGACGTGCTCCTTTTGCCCAGCAATCTTCAGGTCGTCAACATGCTAAGAAGACGTAGGCACTAGCTCCGAGACGCCAGCAGCACAGCTGCTGGACGTCACGAGCTTGACCACGAGCTCCGCGCACCACCTGGTAAGTTTGGCGCTGCGCTCAAGTGGGCGCGTGACCTGGGCGAACTTCATGGAGAAGGCTCCGGGCGCATCCTTGCAGCCCGTGCCTGGCCTGATGCAGCGCAAGCACTAGGTCCGCTCGTCGGAGCTCCCGTAGCCGGCCACCTGCCTGAGAACGGCTGCGCTGCCGCGTGGCAGGGTGAAGTTCACCTCTGGAGGTGCTTCGCCTTGCTCCTGCATCTCTGCGTAGGTCATGCCTTGCATGAATGCCTCCTCGACGTCAACGGCGGCGCGCGCCCGGTCGGGGAGTCGCGCCGCCTCTGAGGATGGCGGGCGCTGAGACGCCCGCTTCGCTGCCCCCATGAACGTCTGCAAGGCTCCGGCTCCCATGTCGCGGAAGCCCTTCAGCGCCGTGGGGCACAGGATGATCTCGACAGTCTTGCCGTCTGATCTCTTCAGGTGCTTCCACTTGAAGACGCGTCTGGGGTCCACTACGTTTCGGGCGCCTTCGAGCGGCCGCCTCTCGAAACATTTGCATGTGACCCGAGGGTGGCTGCTGCGACCTCCTTCGACAGCCTCGACACTTCCTCGTTGAACAAAAGGTCGGCGCCGCGCTTGATGACCGCGGTCTTGGCGGCGGCTAAAATCCCAAGCGCAGAGCTGTCCGAGGAGCGCCTGCGACGCAGTCGCCGGGCGCGGCCGTCTGAGGAGCGCCCGCGACACAGTCGCAGGACGCAGCCTCGCTGAAGCTCAGGAATGCTTCGCGCACCCCTGGATCAAGATGCAACTCCACATGTCCACCGACATCGTCCTCCTCCACTAGCGTGGCGTAGTCGTCCAAGAAGGCCCCGCGCAAGTAGTAGTGGCACTGCGCGTGGATGCCATGGCGAGTGTGCTGCGCCTCGATGTGCCGGGGCTACTCGCGCGGCCTACGGCCAAGGTTGGCCGCGGCGTGCTCGACGGCAGCGGTGAACTTATGCTGGCTGTCGGCGCTCTCCAGCTCCACTAGTTCCTGGGTCGGATCTTCTGCCCCCTCGACTTCGCGCCAAACTGCCGACATCACCTGTCGGATGTGGCTGGGGGAAGTCCTGGCATAGCCGACAGGGCTGGTGGCGATCCACTTTCAGTGGTGCTGGCGGTGTACTCGGGAGCGTCGATGACGCAGTCGTCGAGCGTTCCGTGCAGGTCCTGTCCGGCGTCTGCCATCATTGACGATGCATCGCCAATGATAGTGGATGACGCGAGCTTCCTTCCAATGCTTGCCGATGCTGGTGGGTGTCGAGCGCGACGCCGTTGAGGTGGGTCTGCTGGACGTCGGCAGGGTTCCGAGGGAACCGCCAGATGGCCAAGTTGCGGGCGCAGCCCGGCCATGAGCCCACATATTTGTGTCCGCGTATGAATCGTACAGCGCGAGCGTTAGGTTGTTGAAAGCATATGCGGGACAAATGGCGCAGGGCTTCGAGGACGTCTGGGAGTTGTCGTGCCTGCTCAGTGAGCTGCGCGCCCTTGGTGTCCTCCTAGTGGCCGAAGGTCCTGGCCCCGGAGCCTGGCGCCACGTGCTCCAGCCAGTCCTCCACGTGGTCTCAGGCCAAGCCTGCTCGCGCCATGCCGGTGCCCATCTCGTCGAAGACGGGGCCGATGAAGGCCTGGGCGTCCTGCAGTCTGCAGACCTCTCGGATCGGCGGCATCTGACCGGCACTCTGCCCCGAGCCAGATCTACAGATATGACTGTCCCAGGGCCCGCCTAGCCCAACACATCCTCGGTGCTTGGCGGCCTGTGGACCTCCAGCTGGTCGCCCACGTTGAAGCGGCCCTCTCCGGACTCGGCGCAACGGCTCCTGAGGGCGCGGCTGACGCGCGCGATCGATGTGGCTTCGATCATGCGTTGCAAGGCTATCTCTCGGATGCGCCCCCGCAGTCGGCTGGGCTGCGCTTCCCCACCAGCAGGAGGCTCGGCGCCGGCGACAAAGTCGCCGGATGCCTCGCCCTGTTCGTCTGCTTCGAGGGGTGGCAGCGTGGGCGGCTGCCGTCCGAAGACGACGTTGAATGGCGTAACGCCGCTCACTTGACTGAGGCCGTTGCCAGCAAAGATGGCAGATGCTAGTAT